CTTTTTTCTTTTTGCTTATGTGGTGCTGAGGAATCGAACCCAGGGCCTCAGGCATGCAAGGCAATCGCTTTACCACTAAGCCACCTTCTCAGCCCCCTTCTACTTCTTTTAATGCTGTGGAAAGCCTCACATTGTGTTTAGGTTTCATGTCCATCAGCTTGGCAGGCTAGATGAGGGCCATCTGTATTTTATTTTCCTGTAGCATCTGGCTTTGTGGTAGCATCATTGGGCTAGTTACTCGGGAAGTTCTGGGTGTGTTGATTGCTGACATGTATCTCTGGTGCAGGAAAGGAGGAGAGATCTGTGAGCAGTTACGTGCTCTGGGGGCCTCCCTGGACTGGGATCGGGAGTGTTTTACCATGGATGCTGTGAGTGTTCTATGCTAGAGTCCTTTTGGGTGTTAGGGTAGGGTTTTATAGACCCATGTGTGAAGCAGGCTTCTTAAGGAAGGGAGGCTCAAGACAGGGGTCCCTCAAGAGGGAGCAGGTTCAACTGGGAGGGGCTGATTTGGTCACTGTTGTCATTCTAGGGTTCTTCAGAGGCTGTGACTGAAGCTTTCGTGCGACTCTACAATGCAGGGTTGTTGTACAGGAACTGTCAGCTTGTCAACTGGTCATGTGCTTTAAGATCAGCCATCTCAGATATTGAGGTGAGGCAAGGGTTTCTGAGGACTGTAAGGCAAGTAATCGAGTGATTAAGAGCTTAGACTCTGGAGCTTCACTACCTGGATTCAGTCTGAATGCCTCCCTAAAAATGGTATGATTTTCAGCAGGCTTTTGCCCCCTTTAAGTTCCACTTCTTAAACTGTCAAATCAGAGATGCTGGGATGCTTGTTTCTCAGGATTGTAAAATGAAGTAAAATTTGGTGTGACATGCTCAGCACAATACCTCGGCATGACCTAATGCTCAGTGAATGTGTACTGTAACCAATGGCACAAAAATTGGGTGAGGGGAAAGGGGGTGGTTCCCAGCTCCTCCAGGATTTAGATGGATTGCAGGGAAGCTGGGGTGGGAAGCAGGCATCCTGCCTGTGAGCTCTGTAGAGAGGTGACTCTTACCTGGCCTCCTCGACTTCTCCAGGTGGAAAACCGGCCTCTACGTGGACGCACAGAACTCCGGCTGCCTGGCTATCCCACCCCTGTGTCTTTTGGCCTCCTTGTTTCTGTTGCCTTTCCTGTGGATGGAGAGCCTGGTGAGTTGCTCTACTTTACATTTTCTTCCTCCTTGGTTTTATTTTTTTCTTCAGTTTTGAATAGAGCCTTACACTTATGCCCAGGCCAAGATTGACTGTGATCTTCCTATTTATGCTTCTCCCATAGCTGAGACAGGGTCACTTAAATTTTTGCCTGGGCTGGCCTTGAACTGTAATCTTCCTGCTCTGCCTCCAAATTAGCTAGGATTATAGGCATGATCCTCCATGTCCAGCTTGTTTCCTATTTTCTCATGTCTATGTTGGGAGTGTTTACATCATGAGCACTTACCTTGGCTATTATGGAGGATGTAAGCATGCATTTGGTGTTATTCAGTAGGCATCTGCTTCACAGGAAAGAGACAAATGATCACTTCTAACGTATGGTTCGTACAGTAAGTTGTCTGAAGAGATCAGAGAAGGAAAGAGACTGATCAAGAATGGTCCAAAGCACCATGTAATTGTAATCCCTCTGTACAGTATTTTCACAATTTAAAAAAAGAGAGAGAGAGAGAGAGAATGGTTCAAAGCAGTGTTTTCAGTGGTCTGAGAAAGGTACAACATTTGTGATTAGGACTGAGATTTCCAAGTGTCCTCAGGCACTCAGTAGGCTTTAGGTGCTTTTGTCACTATTATCTTGGATTCTTCCATACAAAGTCTTGGGAAATTCCTTTACACTCACACCCTCTCCTGGTCATACAGTTACAGGAAACCTGGGCTCCTATAAACATGGCTCCTGATTTTCCCTGTGGTTCCTAGGCCCACCTTGATACTCTCTGCCCTTCCCTCTTGTAGCTCTGCTGGCTTTACTGTGTCAGAGCAAGCAGTGGGGGTTATGACCAGCTGCGAGTGCTTGAATGTTTATATTTAGATGCAGAGGTAGTAGTGGGAACCACAAGACCAGAAACATTGCCTGGAGATGTGGCTGTAGCTGTTCACCCTGATGACTCCCGTTACACAGTAAGAAGTATTGCCTGCACCCAACCCATTCTCCACGTAGTCCACTTATTTGCTTCATCTTCTGTCCTCCCCTCCCTTTCTCCCTTTCTCTTTCATCTCCTCCCCTTCTTTCCTTTCCTTCCCTTCTTTCCTTTCCTTCCCTTCTTTCCTTCCTTCCTTCCTTTTCTTCTCCTCCTCCTCGTTTTCCTCCTTCTCCTCTTTTTTTTTTTTTGTCGGTCATGGGGCTTGCACTCTGGGCTTGGGCTCTATACCTCAGCTTTTCAGCTGCTTGAGCCACAGCGCCACTTCTGGTTTTCTAGTGGTTTATTGGAGATAAGAGTCTCACAGATTTTCCTGCCCGGGCTGGCTTTGAACTGTGATCCTCAGATCTCAGCCTCCTCAGTAGCTAGGATTACAGGCATGAGCCACTGGCACCAGGCTCCTTCTCTTCTTTTTCTTCCTTCCTTCTTTCTTCTTCTGGAGCTTGAACTCAGAGCCTCACACATGCTAGGCAGGTCTTCTACTACTTGAGTAATGCCTCCACCCTTCCTACTTTTTTTTTCTTTTTGTCGGTCGTGGGGCTTGAACTCTGGGCCTGGGCGCTATCCCTCAGCTCTTCAGCTCAAGGCGAGCGCTCTACCACTTGAGCTACAGCGCCACTTCCAGTTTTCTGGTGGTTTATTGGAGATA